AGGCTCCACGGTGTGGAGTACTGAGCAACTATGCCATTTTCCTGTAGGAACCTTGCGAATGGTCCTGGAATTTGGCCATATGGGGTATGTCGCCCATAGTACTCTCCACCTCGGTGCGATCGTACTATCTTGATTTTCTTATTGTGCTGATTTTCAACTTGACTTTAAATATTTTGAATTTATCCAATGCTTCCGATCTTTCTTTAATTGGATAAATATTGCCATAACAAGAGTAGTAGTCGTCTGTGAATGTTATAAACGAGTCATAACCATCCACACTTTTCAGAAAAGGACCACATATATCTGTGTGGATTATTTCTAAAATACCCGTGCTTCGTTTGGCATCTTTCTTAATTTTCTTGACATACTTTCCTTTGATGCAATCAATACATTGCTCTAAATCTGAAAATTCTAAGTGCGGGAGAATTGATTCCTTAACCAATCGTTCCATTCTCCCCTCGAAATATGGCCCAAGCGACAATGCCATAATTTGAAGAGGCGAGTATCAATTCTCTTTCGCTTCTTAGTTACATCCGCATGAGATGGGGAATCATTCACATTCTCATCACATACATTGTTCGCATTCTCAAGAAGAGATAATAAATAAAGCTTGTCTTGTCGGAAGGCAAGACCAACACATTATTATTAACTAGTATCTTACACTTGCCATCACCAAAATGGCAATCAATTCCATCATCATCAAGTTTGAAACACTTATCAAATTTCTACATAAAGAGGGAACATAAAGTACTTCTTTAAGTCTAAGTACAAAACCATTATTCAATTCTAAGAAAAATCTCCAATGGCTTCAACATTGGCTTGCGATCCATTTGCAACTTTAATCGTTCTTTCTCCTCTTTGCAAGGTTCTCGTCCCACTTAACCCTGTAAAGAATTTGCAACATGAGTAGTTGCTCCTGAATCAACCCACCAAGTGGATTTATCATAACATAAATACAGAGATTCATCTACAAATGTAATAAATTCATCACCTTTCTTTAGCAGAGATTTCAGGAAGTCTGGACAATCCCTCTTGTAGTGTCCTTCTTGAAGCGGTGCTTGCACTTGATTTTTTCTCGCTCCACCATACTGCTTTGATTCTCGAGAATCCACGGGGTTTCTTTCCACGTGAACTGGAGGAAGAGGTCTTATCCCACTTAGGTTTCCCTTGTGGTTTAGAATTCTTGCCATTAAAGTTCTTTCTTTTGTTGTCCTTCACAAAATGAGCATATTCACCTTGTGAGGACTTTATCCTCTCCTCTTCTTGAGCACACATTGAGATGAGTCTTTCTATGCCCCATCTTTCAGTGCATATTATAGTTCACAATGAAGGTGTCATATTCTTTTGGCAAAGAAGCAAAAATCAAATGAATCAGAAATCCTCCTCCTTCAAATTCATTTCTTTTAGCTTGGATGCCGTAGTGTTCATCTTCAAAATGTGCTCTCTTATGCTACCACCAAAGTGAATTTCTCATTCACAAGCTTCTTAATCGATGAACTTGTTTGTGGCCTTGGTAGACCCAAAGAACTCGACTCTTGATTTTCTCAAGATATTCTTTGGCGATAGCACATTCTGTGGATTGAGCCCCTTATACGCTTTCTTCTATGGTGGCTTTGGCTACCTGCTTGAGCACTTGCGGTTGGAGAGAGTCCATTGCCTATGTTCAAGGTCATATTTCATTCTTATTTCAGCATGATCACGCTTTCGAAAGCGGTGAAATGTTGTCGATTTCATTGTCACCTCTCACCGGGTCCTGCGCTCAAGAGGGACACGGTGAGGTGATGGCAAAATCGACCTCTCCCAACGCAAGTTCAAATTCATACTTCTCCCGCCACACACGGTGATTGGTTCCGTTGAGTGTCGGGATGTTGGCAATATTCACAATGCATTTGCCTCCTGAAATCACACCAAAGTAAGTAAGAAACATTTATACATAAAATTCCATGCTTTAACTCAACGTTGGTCAAATTAAAACTTATTATTCATCCATGCAAACATTTTACATCACCGTTGGGCAGAAGTAAAATTAATGCACAATTTCTTATGGATCAAAATTATAATATTGTTATTAACAACGTTGGTCAGAAAATAACAATATCATAATCGCATTAAAATTATCAGAAATTCATTTCTCTTAAAATTAAATTATCCCGTTGGTTCAAATTTAATCAAAGAGAACAATAATTTTCATGCACAGCGGAAACATTAATAATGTTTTCATATTATTATTTTCCAGAAACACTAAAATTCACTGTTTTCTGAGCAAAATATCGTTGGATAAAATTTGCACAGAAAATTATGTCAAAATCATTCAAATTCATCAAAATATGCATTTAAAATTGTTTCTGGAAAATAATAAGGAAAATTTTCTTGTTCTTCTTTTCATTTTCAGCCCATTGGCCTTGACCAAAACCTTATTTGAACAAGCTCGACCCAACATCCGCTGGCCGCTTGAGCCGCACCCAAAGCATAAACTTTGGGCTCGGGCTAAGCAAAAGCGCCCAGCAGCAGTTCGCCTGGCCTCGACTTAGCCCGGCAGATCTCGGGCGTTCGATCGATCCGACGGACGGCGGCGCGTTCGCGAGATCAAAACCCAGGCAGCGGCGCTACAGAACCCTAGCCATTTCGGCTCTTGCTCTCTCTCTCTCTCCTTTCGATCGCAAGAAGAATGAGGATACCGCCATCGAAAGCGCGCATGAGCGCGAGGAAAGCAGAGCTGGGCGATCTCTTTGCGCTGTCGTTGCCCCCTCGCGGCGTAGCGTGCGTTCTAACGGGTGAGCACGCCGCCCGCCGAGCGGCCAACGGCATGGCCTTCTATGGCCGAGCCCGGCGAGTTCGCGCCCCGGCTCGGCTTCTTCTTCGGCGCCGGCGGAAGAGCCGGTGCGCTTCTTCTTCTTCTTCCGCGCCGGTGGAGGTTTATCCCCGACGAACGGCGTGTTCTTTCTTTTCTCGTTCTTCCCCGTCGCTTTCTTCCCCATTCCGACGCACGGGAATTAGGGTTAGGGTTTGGGAATGGGGTTTTTATTGTGTTTCTTTTGGCTTGTTCATCCGAATGGGATTAGGTTAGGGTTTCGATGTGCCGCCTTTTGTTCTTTTTTCCCTTTCCCCTTTCGGATTTGATTTCTTTCTTCTTTCTTTTTCTTCTCACTCGTTCACTCGAAAAGGGATCTAGGGTTAGGGTTTGGTTGAACCCGATTTCCCGATCCGTGTTTACCTTTTGTGTGATTCGAGATCTAGATGGTAGGGTTCCTTTTCTTTCTTCTCGGATTGAACCGATTGGTGATGGGATTCTTTCTAGGGTTAGGTCTTAGTTCGGTTTTTTACGTTTTCTTTCCCGATCCGCATCGTATTGGTTTGATTTCTTGTCGAAAACCGGCTCCGATGCCATTGTTAGATTTAGGGTTCTTAGGTATGTTCATCGGATCGGTTTTGTTAGCACGATAATAGATCAATCGGATTTCACTGAGAGAGATTGAGAGATAGGTGATAAGTAGCAAACCGTCAAATGTCAGTAGTTGTTGAAGCTCCGTGAGGGTTTCGTTGTTGGATGCCATCTGCACCGGCAAATGACGACGGTCGGTGGAGAGTGAGTCGGCGCTGTGTGGCCCCTCGTGGCGATGTGAACGTCGGGTGGCGTTCTCGGTGTCGATGGCACTTCCGTCATTTGGCGGCGCCCTACTTTCGATCGGGTCTAGGGTTTAGGATGTCGATTGGGGTGTTGGCGGCGCGGTGAACCTCGATCGCGAGCCCCGCCCCCACCTTCCTTTATATATTTGTCTGACGGGGCCCACCAACCATGTAGGGTTGGGCGCCCCCGATCAGGGCGCGAGGACAAGGCCCAGTTAGGCCATTGGGCCTAACTGGTGGGAGATCAATACTAACAAGAAGAACAAAATCGACACCGACATCCCCATCCATCCAAGAGTTAAATGTCCGTGTGCGTTACCTTTGGCGGAATCAAACAGGGAGGAGTAGAACTCCTCCTCCCTCCGCACGCAGTCCTGGGTCCTGAACCGCTGGCTTGCTGCACCTGCACCAGTCGATGCGGTCGGCGGTGGCGCTGGGCGCGAGACTGCGAGAGGAGAGGCAGTCGTGGAGGCCGGACGGCGCAGCGGCGGGTGGGTCGACGCAATGAGCGTCAAAGGACGGGCGATTGGTCAACGGCGGGGGACGATTTGGCAGCGGCGGATGATGCATCATCCTCAGCCTCCGCCCTCCGGTGGTGGAGCTGGGATGGGATTGGGGATTTGGAGGAGAGATTGTGTGTCCGTGACACGTGTTCAATGAAAGTGGGGCCATTATTTTTATGGGGGCCGCGTGTAAGTCGCACAGCCTTCTCTTTTCTTCTTCTGCTATACTAGGCGAAGTCAAGCAAGCGGCTTCCTTGTTAACCTCTTCTGTAGAAGAAAGATTGAGCCACGAAAGCGAGAAGGATATATGCGGATGATGCTCGGGGCAACGACAACGACAGATTTCACAGTCACGTAGCTTGACGTGCCATTGTCGTAATCGTGATTAACTAGTTAAGTTTTTTTTTAAAAAAAATACTTGTAGAAGCCAGAAGCATATGAGGTGAGAGAAGATAATCCACACGTAAAAAAGAGGAGGGGGAGAGAAGGATGAAAACGACAGGTAGTGACAGAACAAGAGCAAGGTGTGGGCGTCATGAAGAAAATGATGATTGGCTTGCATCGTATGACCAATGGTCTTGAAATCTCCTTACCTTGTGGACTACTTATAAAAGGCGGAGCAGAGGAGGATCGGTGATCAGAGTAGAAGACCCACACAGACATCCACATCCAGGCATCCTCCCCCACCAAGAGAGATCGATGACTCTCTTCTTCTTCAGCTGAGCCCTCCACGCAACGCAACCCAACCCAACCACGCAATAGCAAGGCTAGTCACAGTCAAATCAATTTGCTCCACTCCAGCGCCCGCCCCCACCGAGAGCCAGCCATCCGCCCGTCGCAGAGCCGCCAAATCCCCACCAACCGCGCGCAATGGAGGACGCCGCCGCCCACCTCCAGCTCCAGCGCTCGCCGCCGCCGCCCGCCGGGGGCTGCGGCCTCGCCGTCAACCCCACCGCCGCCGAGTACGTCCACGGTGCGTCGCTCTGCCTCCCTTCCCTTCCCTTCCCTTCCCTTCTCCCGTGTGCCTGCCGTCAGCTTCCGTTCCGCCCCGCCGCCTGCGGTTTTGTTGTCCGCGAGCCGTTCCCAACTTGCTCTCAACGATTGACAACGGAAAGTACAATACAACCCCCGGTGCTTTCGCGCTGAGTGGAATGAATTGGGGGTTGCTAGCTCGGGGATACTAGATAGGTAGATGTCGCGGCTGATTCCAACATGATGAAGTTTTCGCCTTTTTTTTCGTCTATGTCTGTCAGCGTCAGGATCCAGTCAACTCTTATTAAGGCGTGTTGGGGAAGTTTAGTTTCGTCAGTTGTGCGCGTGCTCTGTACTGTACCGCACTGCACTACTGCTGCGCATCCTACCCATCCATCCCCTGTTGACTCACAGTAATGGTGCAGCGAACTACCATGAGTGAATGAGCCTCTTCACCGGTTGGTCCGACTGTGTGCTGGTTTGTTGTGAGAGAAAACACTATTGGCTGACTGATAAGCCCTGGCTGAAACTAACGAGCGACACCTCTACACATTTATCCTAGTCAGAGAGAGAATATGTTTGGTATGTAAATTGAACTGTTTATAAACCAGTAGAATAAAAAAAAAGTGCACATGCTTTTGGAAAGCAAGGCCACTAGTCTACACAATCATCTCTCTCTAACCTTCATGCCCACAAGGCCACAACAGAGTTAAAGTGCTAATTAAGGATACATGCATGTATATGATACTGCTACTACCTGTTCCATACACAGTTCGTTGGTTCGTTCCCAGTGCCCAATACCACCCTATCTCTGCTCCATTTCAACTTGCGCTTGTTTGGGTTGAAGATGCAGTTAGCATTGTCCTCCCATCCCAGATAACAACGTACAGTTCCAGTTTCAAAAACATAGTGTCCTCAGAAACAGATTACCGTTACTGACCATTCTACATAATCTTTTCAGCGCAGGGCTACAGTGTTGTTCTCCCTGAGAAATTGCAAACGGGCAAGTGGAACGTGTACCGGTATGTGCTTCGTGTTGTCATAAGCTACAGCGTTGTTCTGCGGCTCCTGTGCCGGCTCGTGATTCCTGTTGCCACCTTGCAGGTCCGCGCATTCACCTCTAAGGCTGATAAGTAGATATCCCGACAACCCAGACATTGGAACACTGCATGATAATTTCACGTAAGAAACTGGGACCTTCTCTCTTCAATCTGACTTTTTATATCTTTATTTTCCATCTAACTTCTGTCAGAAGTTCTGTTGTTACCAACATCGTGATCTGTTACCATTTATTTGCAAACCCATCTGTGTAAAATGGTGCTGCTGTGGTCGTTGAGATTATTACCGAAGGCACACTAGAAATAAACCCATTTATTTTGCAGGTATGCAGTCGAGACATTTACAGACTGTAAATACCTGGGAACAAGAATCAGAACAGATGGAACAATTGGAGAGTAAGGATTAGCTATCTAATACGCTCCTTATTATTGCCTGCAGCGTCCTTTTTATCCAGACTGATTCGTGCAAGTGACAAATAATGTTGTAGCTACAAATGGATGACATACGGAGAAGCTAGCACGAGCAGGACTGCAATAGGTTCTGGTCTTATCTATCATGGAGTTCGTGAAGTGAGTCATCATGATCTGAACAAGCTCTTGTCCTTTTGTTCTTAACAAAACAGATATGTTGCGATTATGTTTGAGCTTACGTCAAACATATTTCTGTTTGGAATCAGGGTGCATGCATTGGTCTGTATTTTATAAACAGACCCGAGTGGATTATAGTTGACCATGCTTGTTCTGCATATTCATATGTATCTGTGCCACTTTATGACACTCTTGGTATGTTCACAACAGAATGACTATACTATAGGTCTCTTGGTCGTTCATGGTTTGTCTAGTGACTGTTTTTGTTCATTGTACATTTGTACTTTCAGGCCCAGATGCTGTTCAATTCATTGTGAACCATGCAGCGGTGGAAGCTATATTCTGTGTGCCTCAAACTCTAAGCATTGTGAGCTTTAATCACTTCTCTCTTTCAATTACTAGTTCCTAAAATAAAATTTGCAAATGAAGCCTATGATGAGGCTGCATGTCAGAAGTCATCTTAGTCCTAACTAGTGAGTCTGGAACTGCTCCAGGGATTCGGACCATTCTTTATTTGTACTGGTTTCTCTAGCATAAAAAACATCGTATAGTATGGTACAAGTGGCAGCCATGACAACCTTTTTGCGGGCCCATATACATGAAAGATATGGTTAATCTTGTGGATACTGGGGCCTGGTATTTAAAGAATAACATTTTTGTTCTTATTTTGAAAGCTACATTGCTTTATTGATGTCATTTAGCTTTCAACTTCACATTATTGTAGTATTATGTCATTCTACATTTAAAAGACATAGACTGAACTTACGACTATTATTTTACTCATGGTTATCTATTGATTGCAGCTGCTAAGTTTTATAGCTCAAATGCCATGTGTTCGGCTTATAGTGGTAAGTCCGGACTGCTTACTGTTGACAGACACAATGTAACAGTCATGATTATTCAAGGACCTTTCCTCCTTAATTTTCCTAGTTTCTTTTGTCTAGGTAGTTGGTGGAGACGATGCAAATATGCCATCAACTCCAGTTACTACTGGAGTGGAAATCATAACTTACTCCAGGCTGCTCATCCAGGTGCTCATGATTTTTTTTTTTTTTTTTTTGCTCATCCTTGAGTTTTGCTCATGATGATTTTTTTTGTTTTAACTATTTCAAACACTACATAAAGGATACAATGGTATAAATTCCATAAACTGCATGATTTTACTGAAGTGGATACCCTTATTTCTCAATGTACTTGAACTTAAAGAAATTTTGATACAACCGCACGGCAGCCATTTTCATTGTCATTAATCTGGAATGGCCTAAGCCAAATTTGTAGATGCACTCAAATATAAGTATCCCATGTCCTTTTGTTTCCCTGTTTTCTTGTTCTTTTTCCTTGCCTATGTGCTTCAAGAGTTTGGCCCTTACAAATTGATGTGATTTAACACCTAAGCCGCACATATGTACTTATGCTATATATTGTCTTCCTAGATTTTATACATGGGATGCCATGATTTCTTTTCCATCCTTTGTTGGGTGGAAGTTAGATCTATCTAGAATGCAAAACTGAATCTTCCAGTTCAGATTAACCTGACATGGGACGATGTTTGTATCTGCATGCCTGTATGGCTGTATGCAGAGGTCAGTTGTTTTTATTTTATTTGTTTTTTAGGGGAATTTTTATTTTACTTGTTGTATGCAAAGTACACATGAGATCACAGATCAAATGTTCTCTTTGGTCAACTCACAGTTTTTCAAGCTTCATAGCTGTATCTACATGCATTTAATGGTTATAGGCATATATAGCATGCTAATGCTGGGAATTACCTTTACTTTGCATATATATACATGTGTATGTGTTTCAATATTAATTAGTTTATTTATGAAATTTGAATGTTTAAGTTGTTAATACATTGTCATTAGTGTTTTAATTTAGAATAAAGAAGGGCACATCACCTTGTGTTTTCCACTTGCTCCTATGTACTGTGCGCCCCTGTTTTCTGTAATCCTTCAATTCTTCAACTCAGGGAAAGGCTAGTCCTCAACATTTTCGTCCTCCGAAACCTGAAGATATTGCCACTATTTGTTACACTAGTGGCACTACTGGCACGCCAAAGGTAAATCAGCCATCCTTCTGATTATTCTTAGCTTCATCAGCAAAGTTCTTTTACTTGTACAGTTGTACATTTCAGATCTGTGATGTTGCATATCGTTTTTTTCCCCAGGGAGTTGTTCTATCTCATGAGAACTTAATTGCAAATGTAGCAGGATCAAGCCTGAACATTAAGTTTTACCCCTCCGATGTGTGAGTATTTTACATATACACTCAAATAAAATTGTTTGTGCTTGAGCAACTTATCCAATTCACATCAGCTCTTAACATTTGTGACAATAACTTTGTGGATCACTCCTCAGGTATATCTCATATCTACCTTTGGCTCACATCTACGAGAGGGTTAACCAAATTGCAGCACTGCATTGTGGTGTTGCCATTGGATTCTACCAAGGGGTATGAAGATTCAACTTTATTTGGAATGGTAGCTATAACTACGTAACTACAGAGCAATTTTTATGTGCATTCTGAGAATTATTTAACACTAAACTACTAAAGGTTCATCTATAAGTTGGTGCCTGTAGTTGTAGGAATATGATCATCTATTGCAAATATGCATTGTGCACTTGAGTTGCTCTTAGTTTGGATGACGTTTTTTTAAAACTTTGGACGATCTTTCATCATCAATACAATATTTTATCAATTTAAATTCACTCGTAGTAGTTGTTATGTCCCCTTGCTGATCACTGTAACCCTCCCCCCACCACCCAAATACTTTTCCTTCTGTAGACTTCCTGTGTCCACACCACACCAGTTAACTATACCCATGCATGGTTATCTCCCATTTGTTTGCTGGTCTGTATGAAGCAAACATTTTATGTGGCATTTCTAAGTTACGCATCCGTACTTGAATCCCATAATTTTACCTACAAATCTACAATTGTGACTCTTTGTCATCTTTACTTACTACGTTAAATTCCAGGATAATTTGAAGCTCATGGATGATCTGGCTGCTTTGAGACCGACAGTATTCGCCAGTGTTCCCCGGTTATATAACAGAATTTATACCGCGTAATAAAACTATACCACTAGCTTCTATGTTCAGTGTAAATTATTAAAAAGTGATACGTTCTGTTCATACTACTAACTACTAGTTGCTTATTCGATGCGTAGAATTACAAATGCTGTGAAGGAGTCTGGTGGGCTGAAAGAAAAATTGTTTCATACTGCATACAATGCCAAGAGGCAAGCAATCCTTAAAGGTAAGAATAATATGCAGTTCATTGAAGTTAGATGCCCTTACTTTTGTTTTTTGTATAACAGTTATGAGAATTTCTTCTGCATCCATAATGAAGCATAGGATCGATATAGCCAATCAGCCATACATGGATAATTGGATACTTGCACAACTTACTAACTTAGTAAATTAAATGGTAAAATGGTAAGGAGATCTCCTGGGTAGAAAGGAATAGGCGAAGGGTCTCACCATCCATCCCCCCCCCCCCTTTATTTTTACATTTCCTGGGTAGAAACGATAGTTAGGTTTCTTTTCCTTTTTTGTTGCACAGAAACTTGACATGTATTTTTTTCCCCCTGAAAGGGCCAGCAAGAGCATTGACCCGATCTGAACGGAAGAAAATGGTCGATGTTCCAGTACCTTCTAGTGGAGTTAGAGTGGTTGTTTGTAGGGGTCCATGAAGTGACCATTTTCTTCTCTCTTTAATATAAGATACGCAGCTCTTCTGCATGTTCAAGAAAAAACTGAATCAATCTAATTTTACATTTTGATGCCATCTTAATCCAGTTTTCATCGCATGTATGCGCAATGAAATGTCACTTCTATACTTTGTGCTATTAGGGAAAAATCCATCCCCAGTGTGGGATAAGTTGGTATTTAACAAAATAAAAGCTAGGCTTGGTGGACGAGTGAGACTTATGAGTTCAGGTGCTTCTCCACTGTCAGCAGATGTTATGGAATTCCTTAGGATGTAAGTTGTCTTCTTCTGAGCTCTCTTGGATGATTTTTGGAACTTGGCTTAGTGACAATTACTGTTTAAATTTCTATAGATGCTTTGGTGGTGAAATTCTTGAAGGCTATGGAATGACAGAGACATCCTGTATCATATCTACAATGGATGTTGGTGACAAATCAATTGGTCATGTTGGATCCCCAATTGCATCTTGTGGTAAGCTCTTGTGTTTCAAATTCAAGGATATAATAAATTTGCTTGGGTAGCACTTGCACTTTGTGTTGAAAATATTGTCCATGAATTCAACTTATAATATATTAATATACGTAGAGAAGCCATGCTAAAGTTAGGAGGCCTTTATTTGTTTTTAAATTTTTTTGGATGTTACTTATATTGATGATGCCATGATGGTGGTACTTTGAAAATCCAATAAATGTCCACTGAAATTAGTGCATTGAACAAACTTATCCTAAATTATTGTTTCTATGCCTTACATCCAATATTTTCATGGTTATTTTTAAGTTTTGAGTCTAACGTGCAGCAAGGTCCTGTAGTCACCTTGCTGAATGGATCATGTTTCTGGAATAAAACTAGCCTTTTTCTTGAGGAAGATGTCAATATTCTTTACCAATGACACTAGTCAAATGGCATACATATCCAAAATAATTGGTTATGCCTTTGTGCTTGTGCATTGTTCTCACAGTTTCATAATGTAGATCTTTCTCTTTTCATTTTCAGAGGTGAAACTTGTGGATGTCCCAGAAATGAATTATACGTCCGATGATCAGCCTTGCCCTCGTGGAGAAATTTGTGTTAGAGGACCTATAATATTCCATGGTTACTATAAAGATGAAGTCCAAACGTAAATTTCTATCCTCCACTTAAATTTACCTTTGTACTGAATGAGCTTCAACTGCAGTAGATCAATAAATACATTTAAAAAACTACAGAAAAGAAGTCATTGACGAAGATGGTTGGTTGCACACTGGAGACATAGGTCTGTGGCTACCTGGAGGGCGTTTAAAGATTATTGATAGGTAAAAAGATGCACTGTTTTATATTTTAGCTTCTCTTATGGAATTAACATAATAATATTACAATGTTTTGCTCTCATTAAGCCACGATACAACAACAACAACAACAAAGCCTTATTTCATCTCCATTAGAATGGCTAGATTTAACGTTGGCTCGCCACGCCTATCACAACCCTCCTCCTTTACCAGGGCTTGGGACCTGCTATGTTGAGACAACATAGGCGGAGTTTCATTAAGCCACGATAATTTGCAATTTTATTTTTAGTTCTCTTGGACTCTCGACACAACATCCATTAAAATCATCATAAAATAATCTCTAGAGCTTTCCAATCTCGGGCTAGAATAGAACTACTATCTGGTGTGACGTTCCAAGTTTGAACTAGTTCTTCATAAGGAGAAAATTTTATTAAAGTTCGATTCAACAAACCGAAGCTTGCTGGAAACTATCCTTTTTTTTTTTTGCTTTCATGTCCATACATTTTCTATTATAATGTACTTGATAGCATATTAATAGCAATAATATTAGTAGCATAATTTGAATAGATCCAGACAAAGGTAAACATACATATATATAGCCTTGCAAAGCTACATAACTGAATATGAATGATGCAGCCCATCCAAAAACTAACTGAATTATTGAAGATCCTTCATTTTGCTCTTGCGAGCTTTTCTGTACAACCGAATGATCAATCAAAACCTCATTATCCATTCAGAACTTGTGTTCTTGCAGAACACTTTTCCTTGGTTATATTGTTGATATACATTTTCCCTAGGCGCTGTTTGATCGGACTATTTTTCTTCCTATGTTACTAATGCCTTACATTTTCTCCTGGATTCTAGGAAAAAGAACATTTTCAAATTAGCTCAAGGAGAATACATAGCTTCAGAGAAGATTGAAATTGTTTATGCCAAATGCAAGTTCATTGCCCAATGTTTTATATATGGTAATATTTATGATTCTATGTTGGCTTTATGATCATCAATTATGGCCATGCATGTTCTAAATCTCGTTCTAAATCTCTTCTTTTGGATGCAGGTGATAGTTTAAACTCTTCCTTAGTTGCTATTGTTGCAGTTGAACCAGAGGTTTTGAAGGCTTGGGCTGCATCTGAAGGAATCCAGGTAAAAGTTTTAAACTGTAACGTTTGCCACCTATTTATTTCATCCTTCAAAAAAATGTCTGTAAGTAGTCTTGACACTGATCCAACTTATAATTACGAAAACTGGCGTTCATTTTCCATCTTATGCTTTGGTTGAATCATATATCGAATAGAACTGTGGCAGTCTCTTCCACTCCCTCTTAGAATGGCTGTTGAACACTAAATCCTCTGTTTTCAGCTGCGGCCTGTGGTCCAAAGGAAGTGTAGATCAGGTGAAATTTTATTAGTTGCCATCCTAAAGAGCCAGTTTACTTTTCAACTATTTTGCCGCCCAATAGATCACACTAGATAAAATATTATCCAACTGTACCGTGTTATTGCCACTTGCACATTCCTTGAGTGTTTCATGCCTGCAACCTGTTTCTCTATTGGATATGTTGTCCACTGTTCCTCACAGTAAAACTCAGCACAGATAGACCTTCAAGCAATTCTTTAACATTTGCACAGGTTTTGTGCTCTAAACTGTCCTTTCTAACATGTAGTGCGAAGACTTGAGACAGCTTTGTGCTGACCCTAGAGCAAGAGCTGCTGTCCTGGCTGATATGGATTCTGTTGGGAAGGAAGCGCAGGTTTCTCTATTCTGTTTGACCTAGCAAATTCTAATGTTCAATGCAAGTGAAACTGTTGATCGTTTATTGATTTTCTGTGCCCCATTGTACCAGCTAAGAGGTTTTGAGTTTGCTAAAGCTGTTCGGCTTGTTGCTGAGCCATTCACAGTGGAGAATGGTCTCCTCACCCCAACATTCAAGGTAGGCCCCACTGGTGACTCTAGATGAAATTTACAGCCTGAAATGCTGAGTGGCTATGGCTTACACTCCCATCCCCAATACTTCTGCAGGTCAAAAGACCGCAAGCTAAGACATATTTTGCAAAGGAAATTTCAGATATGTATGCAGAGTTGCGGGAGGCGGAGGCACCCAGGTCGAAGTTGTGATCGTACGTGTAATGGTCAGAAGGAGAAGCGATACATACAGGCTTATACTGATATCATGTATAGAATAATAACTTAATCTTTTACTGGCCCAGCAAATAATGGTTCCTGCATGCAATGATCAGGAAGATTGAGGACAGACGGAGGCAGTGCTTGGACTGCTGAATGAATAGATGGTCCTCGTTATTATGAACTTATTATAGTACTGAATGCCATCTTGCCGAGTACATGAATTTTTGCCCTTGTCCAACGTGCCACGTTAGCCTCAATGGAAGATACGTACATCATAGAAAAAAAATCTGCAAATGTAAACAGTAAACAGTCCGTTGCGAACTGTAAGAATGTCGGTCGGTTGTATAGCAAGTTCGGTATTTTCTTTTTCCTATGTCGACACAGTTCAACATCATGGTGTGGTGAAGCAAGTTGATTGATCGGAACGAGCTGGAAGCTGACGAATACAAAAACATGTCTTTCTGTCGGTATATGGTAATGGTATGGCATATCATGCCTGATCGTGTACGGACGGTAGAAAGCAGAAACGACTGCTAAGCAAAATTGACTGCGAGCATGGAAGATACGTCAAGCACTCTCTTTCATTTATTTGTTGTATTCATAAACAAGGAAACATTCTCATTCTCAGTACTTACATCATCTACATTCTCAGAAAGTGATAATAAATAAAACTTGTCTTGTCGGAAGACAAGACCAACACATTTATTATTATAAACAATCTGACATTTACCATTACCAAAATGATAATCATATACATCATCATCTAATCTTGAAACATTTATTAAGTTTCTTCGCAAAGAGGGTACAAATAGAACATCTGAAAGCTTAAGTAGAAAACCATCAACTAATTCTAGAGAAAGATCTCCAATGACTTCAACTTGAGCTTCAACTACATTTGCTACTCTAATTCTTCTTTCTCCTCTTTGCGGGGTCCTCCTCGTACGAAATCCCTGTAATGATTTTGCAACATGAATAGTTGCACCTGAATCAATCCACCAAGTAGATTTTGCATAACTTAGATACAAGGATTCATCTATAAATGTAATAAAATCATCACATCTCTTTAGCAGGTTCTTCAGGAAGTCTGGACAGTCCCTTTGGTAGTTTCCATGCCTCTTGCACCATTTGCACTGATCCTTTTCCACTTGAATATTGTTGTCATTCTAAGGATGGTCATTCTGAGGGGTTTTCCCTTGAGGTTTGGTATTCTTATTGAAGTTCTTTTTCTTGTCCTTCACAAGGTTAGCAGGGTCACCATGTAAGGACTTCAACCTTTCCTCTTCTTGAACACACATTGCGATAAGTTTCTCTATGTCCCACTTGTCGGGCTGCATGTTATAGTTAACAACAAAGGTTTCATATTTCTTTGTTAAGGAAGCAAAAACCAAATAAATCAGGAACTCATCCTTGAGTCCCAAATCCATTGGCTTCAGCTTTAAAGCCATGCTCATCTTCAATATGTGCTCTCTGATACCGCCACCAGTATATTTTTTATTGAATAATTTCTTGATCAATGTACTAGCATAAGCCTTTGAAGAGCCAGTGAACTGACTCTTCACTTTCTTAAGATACTCCGTGGCGGTATCACAGTCTTGGATAGACCCCCTTATAGTATATGAAATTGTGGACTTAGCCACCATCAAGCACTTGTGGTTTGAAATGTCCCATTTCTTGCGTTCAAGATCATACTTCATCCGCACTTCTGCATGATCTCGCTGCCGAGCAGTGAAATCAGTATCAGAGTCATTTTCTTTCCTTACCGGGTCCACTGGCTCAGTAGGACACGGGAAGGTAAGCGCTAGGTCATTTTCAGACAGCGTAAGTGCTGACTCATACTTCTTTCGCCATACCATATAGTTGCCCCCTTCAAGAGGTGGTATGTGCGAGATGAATGCTATTGGGTTGAGTCCTGAAAAACATCGTCAGAGATAGTGAGAAAATTATGACATCATAATTGCATGCTTTAATTTAACGTTGGTCAAAATTAGAACATACAACAATATTATACACTAATTCTACATCACCGTTTGGTAGAAATAGAATTAATGCATGAAAAACTTATGATTAAACATTATAATATTGTTATTATCAATGTTGGTCAGAAAAATAACAATGTTATAATTTACTGATTAAAATTGACTACTCTTGAAATTAAATTCTTCCGTTGGTTCGAATTTAATTAGAAGATTATAAACTTTAACATGGCAGCGGAAACATGAATAAATAATAATTATTAATTTTTTAGAAGCATTTTCTTATTCATATCTACTTTCTAGAAACAAAATAACAAGTTGGTGTAATTTTACCAGAAATTTTAAACCTTCAAAAATCATCAAAATTCATTCAAATCTGCTTCTAAAAATTAAATAAACTTCAAATCATTTCTTGCTGTTCATTTTGGCCCTGCCTACAGCAGCAGTAAACGGCCTAGCAGCAACAGTGCACGCCCCGGCCTGCAGCAGCAGCTCGCGTGCGCGCTCGCGGCACCTCCCCCGCGCCCAGGCCGCAACCTGGGCCTGGGTCGACAAAGTCACCCGCTGCGCTCGCCCGCCTAGGCCGAATGTTGGCCCGTTCGCTGTCAACCGTTCATCTGACACGGACGGTCGAGCGCGCGCGTCGGTCGAATAAAACCCCGGCGCAGCGACCTCCCCCAAAACCCTATCTCATTTTGGCTCCCTCCATCTCCTCTCTCAGCGCAGCGACGACACCGAGTGAGGCGAGGCAATGACGGCGCCGTCGCCAGCCCCCTCGCCGACGCGCGCGCTCCCCAGCGGGTGAGCACGCCGTCATCGAGCGGCCTGGCCGCGGCGCCCTTGGCTAGAGCACGCGCTCGCTCAACGTGCAGCGGCGGCTCGACCCTTCTTCTCGCGCACCGATGATGCGACAGTGCGGTGCAACGGCGAAGTAGGCCTCTTCCCCTTTCCCTTTTCTTCTCTGGTTGGATCTTTCTTTCTTTTCTTCTCGGATCTATTCGATTTTAGGGTTGGGGATGGGGTTAGAATCGAGATTAGGGTTAGGATTTCCTTACTGTTCATCTTCCCCGAGCGGTTCACGTGGGTTAGGGTTAAGGTTTGAGTTGCTTTTCAAAACTAAGACCCTTTTTTACTACTTTTCTTCACCCGATTTGGGTTTAGGGTTCGATGAACCCTTTGTTTAGATCCAAAACCGAATCTATCATCTTCTTCTAAATGCTGCTACTCGGTTTTCTTATCCGATAGGCTAGATCTACACCTAGTTAGGCGACTGATACCATTGATAGACATAACACAGGATCACTAGCCATATATCTAGCATGTTTACTTGCTTTTGGAATAAACAGTGAGTCCTAGAACATCTATTAGTATGTGATTAATAGATAGAGTGAGAGAGAGGGGTGAAGGGGGGTGTAAACCATCGGCCGCTTTCGAGGAAGACGGGCTCGCCATCGCGGTGCTTGGTGAAGACCCGGTGACGGTGCTGTGTCGAAGGGCGGCGGTGCAGTGGTGGTGTTGGCCGGTGGTGGTGCTTCCCGTCACTGGCTACGCACCCTCTCTCAGATCGGATTAGGGTTGTGTCGGTGGGACGACTATAGCTCAGGCGAACTTCGTGATCTGAGCCACCGGTCCCACCTTTCTTTTATAGCGCAGTGTGATAGGGGCCACCAACCATGTAGGATTGAGCGCAGTAGAGTGCAGTGGAATTCGAAATTAGCTCGTTCTATCCTGAGACTTTTGTGTGAATACTTTTTTCTAGCAATTATTATCTCCGTTTGTGTCGTACCTTGATGGATCGATGCTCCAGTCGCCGAGCATGGCGGATCGCTTCTGCCATCTGCTGTTTCGCTTTTGGGTTCGGGAATTTCGGTCTGTATTGGTGCGGCTTCGAAGTGATGTTGGTGTGATTTGAGCGTGATGGGGTTTTGCGCCCCTTCCGATTCCCCAAAATTTTCTAGAGTTTTGGGAATAAACTAGTGATGCGTTGTGGCTAAATTGATGGGTTAGTTTTCCCCACGTTTGATTGAAATTCCGCGGTTAGTTCGTTTTAGTCAGTGTGTGTTACTGCTACCGTTGTACTTCGGCACTCAGCGTTTTAGGCTTGGGTTCATGTTTTGTTGGGAGACAGGATTCACGTTGCCTTGTATTTTCTATTTGTGTCCAATGCTATTAATTTGAGTTCTCAGCATATATAGTTCCTGCGCTCAAGCTAATCTGTGTTGGATGCTTCTGTTTGGCACAGTGATCTCTCAGGGGATAAATGCAGGAGAGATGAAGAAGCTGCAGGATGCAGGGATTTACACTTGCAATGGCCTAAAACTGTCTCCAATAACGCGACCCATCCCTAAAAATACGCCATGCACAGTGTTTTGGGTACCCAAAACCTCCTCCAACGGAAGACCAAAATCAGGTATCCATTCTGCGTACTCGCCGAGTCGGAAGGCAATTCTGGGTCTTCGAAGAGAGACGACGCAAACATGTAGTGGTGGGCCCGTAGGCGCTGTCGGGGCAGGGCGTGGCCGGCTCGACTCGGCGAGGCGGGTCCGCGGCGGAGTGCGGCCGGCGGGGCGAGGCGGGCTCGAGGCGAGGAGCGCCCGGAGCGGCGCGGCGTGGCGAGGCGGATTCGGGGAGGAGTGGAGTGGAGGAGGCGGGCCGCCGCGGGAGGAGGTGACGAAGGAGAGAGCGTCGGGGGTCCGCCGCCGGGCGCGAGCTCGGGGGAGCCACCGCCATGCGCGAGCTTGGGGAGCCACTGTCGCTTGGATCCGGGGGGGGGGCACCGCGCGCGCGCACCTGGATCTCGCCGGCCGCGGGTCAAGAGCTCGCCAGCGGGGCCTCTGCTCGGCGGGGAGGGAGGGAGAGGCTCGGCACTTGGCCGGGAAGGAGGCGGGCGGGCGGCGGCGCATGCAGGGAGGCGCGGGATCTGTGGCCGGCGGCGGGATTTGGGGTTGCTGCCTCGGTGCCTCTGTTGGAGAGGTGAAGATATGGGTAGGTAACTCTTTTACTGTGTGTTACCTAAACTGTGAAATGGGTATGAGGTTTGGGTTCATGCTGTTGGAGTCAGTCTAATGATGCATACCAAGGAGGTTCTGAACTATGCATCATGATACCTAAATCTTTGTTCTGTCTGTCTGAATTCTTGTTGCACAATGCTTAAATTGATATCTTGTTTGTGGCACTTTCATGCTTGCTTTCATTTGTTCAATATTCTAATATTCTGAACTTATCGCTACCGTTCTAATTTATGGTTGTTCAAAAAAAATATTGTTCTAATTTATGGATCATCTTGCAGAACCTCACAGGAATCAAAGGTTTATCTGAAGCAAAAGTTGATAAGATCTGCGAGGCAGCTGAAAAACTTCTGGTCTGATCCTTTAAGTTGGTTTTGCTTACTAAACTTCCACGCAACTAGTTCTGTATGATATAGTATCTTCAAATTCTCTTCTTGTTTGTTTGTCACAGAACCAGGGCTTCATGACAGGAAATGATCTCCTTCTTAAGGTAAGAAAATTGCATTTAAGCTACTAATCGGTGTATGGTTGGTATGTCTGATGAGTGATACCTAATGCTTGACTGCTTGTAGTATGTAAACTAACTGACAAAGGTTGTTCAGTTATTGAATCTGGTTGAGCACTTTTAATTACTCCCTCCGTTCCAAATTATAAATTATTCCAACTATTTTGAAGAGTTAAAGATTCTCATGTTGGACCAAAATTATAGAGAAAATTACAGAGATTTATGACATCAAATAAGTATACTATAAAAATACAATTAATAAAAAATCAAATGATACCTATTTGGTATTATAAATGTTATTATTTTATTATATAAATTTGGTCAAACTTATGATGCTTTGACCCTCCAAGAAAGTTGGAATGACTTATAATTTGGAAAGGAGGGAGTACTTCTCATATGCATTGTCCTTTAAGGCTGTTTGATTTATTTTGGCTTATTTGAAGCGGAAGTCTGTTGTTCGGATTACAACCGGGAGCCAGGCACTTGATGAGCTGCTTGGCGGTAATATATCTGAAATCTGTTGTGTGATCGGTCATGCCATCATATTAGTCTAATAGATGGACATGTTTAAATTTTGAAGGAGGGATTGAAACACTTTGCATCACATAGGCATTCGGGGAATTCCGGTATGTTGATTTTCTTGTTCCTGTTGTTTCTTTTTCTCTGAAGTTCTGCTTGAGGAGCCATATTACGTGTATAGAATGTTATGATATGGGATCACACTTGTAATAAATGTATTTAGGCCTAGCTCAGTTATGTATTAGTGTATTTAGGTCGATGATACAACCTTTCCAACCCTCTTGTACTGCCTTTTTCTGTTGTCTCATCTTCCAGAGGTATTGCTAGCACTAGCAGTGCATCTTATAGTTTCTAATCATCATGCTTTTGCTTTGCTAACTTAACCACATGAATACAATTTCTTGCCATTTTCTTGATGTGAAGTGATTCGTTAATGACAATGAAATTAAGGTGGGATCTCTGTTTTCTCTAAATTGAACAGTATATGAAACAATTCTTGTATACTATTGCTGGGACTGGGAATAATTTGCCATTGTATACAACACACAATCGCGCACAAACCTCTTACATGAAAGAAATTCTTAAGTATTTACTGAGAATAGCCAATTAGTCACAGTGAATGTTGACTTATGATGTGCTTTTGTAAGTTCAGTTCTAGCTTTTTAGTTTGAAATACATGACATCTGGGGGTGTCTTGCAGGTCAGGGAAGACCCAGTTGGCTCATACCCTATGTGTCTCCACTCAGGTTCATCCCCCATATCAAATTTTGTAGATAGCACGTAAATATAGAAGCAATAGAATTTGAGGAAACAAAGAAGCAACAGAATTACTTTCTTATTTCCGATTGATGAAAATGCAGCTTCCAATCCACATGCATGGGGGGAATGGGAAGGTTGCCTACATTGACACTGAGGGAACATTGTATCTTTGGAATTTCATGAGTAATTTGTCAAGCTGTTTCTCTCAAGAGTTTATATTTATCTCTATCATCTCCAAATTGTTTCCTTAATGAGTTTTCAGCCGACCTGAAAGCATTGTGCCAATTGCTGAGAGATTTGGGATGGATCCCAATGCTGTTCTCGACAATGTATGAATTCCATGCATTTAACATTTCCCATTTCTATTAGCCCATTTCACGATTAGCAGGCTAAATTGGCTGTTTCATACTTTCATTTTATGTCTGTTTCTGGTTAGATCATATATGCTCGTGCATACACATACGAGCACCAGTACAACTTGCTCCTGGGCCTTGCTGCCAAGATGGCTGAAGAACCTTTCAGGCTTCTGGTAGGCATGAAACTGTAATGTGCATTGAGTTTTGATGATCTCAGCTGTGCTCATGTGGTATTTCTATCGTCTTGGAAACAGATTGTGGAGTCTGTGATTGCACTATTTCGTGTTGATTTCAGTGGCAGGGGTGAACTTGCAGAGCGCCAGGTATTCCCGTCAATTCATTTCAATGGCAGTAGGCACCTCGTAAAGATGTTGAAGGGTGCCGTTTTGTCTGCTTGCTTATGTTTACCTGCTGTGAAATTGCAGCAAAAGCTAGCACAGATGCTGTCCCGCCTTACCAAGATTGCTGAGGAGTTCAATGTTGCAGTGTACATCACCAACCAAGGTGGGCTTTGTTAGTTAGCACTGTATCGACTCCAAGAGTTTACAGACCAATGAATTCCAAATTCTAAGCTGTGTCCCTTCTGTGTTCCAGTGATTGCTGATCCAGGTGGCGGCATGTTCAGAACCGATCCAAAGAAACCAGCAGGCGGCCATGTGATGGCACATGCTGCCACAATCAGATTGATGCTGAGGAAAGGCAAAGGCGAGCAGCGTGTCTGCAAGATCTTCGATGCCCCTAACCTTCCTGAAGGAGAAGCTATATCCTTTTCCTTTTGCTTTGATGGTCCATGTTTACTGCTTGCGCTAATGATCGCCTTACTTTCATAGCTTGCTAAAATCTAGCTATTTCCTTGCTTAACTTGCGTAGCAAACTCTAGTGATAGTGAACCTTACGTGCCAAGTGCTAGCTGCCATGAGCGAATGTTTTAGATGATACAAATTATCAATGTGATATACATGCATGTAGCTTGTTTCCCTTGACCAATAGCACGTTTTCCAGGTTACTTCAGGTGGAATCATGGACGCAAAAGACTAATTCGGTTTTCCAGCCAGAGTGCTTCTGGCCTTCTGCCCAAGAAGATTGTTCATCTTTCTTGAGGAAATTGTCTTGCATGAGAGAAGTTACCGCCGTGTTGCTCTGTTTTATCTTTGACATGGAAAAAGTAGGCAGAACTCTATGTTGCTTAGGCCTCCCATTGGGTTATTTTTGCCAGCGGAATTTGATATGGAAGTATGGAACCAGTTGTGCATGTTTTATGGCTTCCCAAAAGAGTGCTAGGCAGAGCCCATCTACATGCTTAATGCTCCATGCTCGCGTAAATGGCACTGTGCTTCTCTCTTGATAATACTTAGTTTTGGTTTGACATTGAAGGGAAGGTAAAGCTGCTCGTTCAGATCGCAACTCTTGTTGGAACAGATGAGCAAGCTACTGCTGCTAATCTGTGTCTTGGTCGATCCGATCCGATTCCGGGCAGAGCAGAGAGGGATTGGGATTGTACGTATTGTTTATTTATCCCTGCGCTGGATCATCCTGTTGCTTTTCCGGTTCCTGACCTGCTGCTCCCTCTGGCACGGGCATGCTTCCGGTTCCTGCAGCCGAAGATGCACCGTCCTGTTGCCTTTATAAGTCGTACTCGAACGATATTTTTCTCTCACGATTGAATCAGCCAACGGTACCAAGCGAACTGTCGCACTCCGTGCAGTTGTGGTTGGCTTCCTTCCGTCTTCCCGAGGAACCGGCCTACGTAGACGCTCCTCAACCACAAACAAGGCTTTCTTCCTCGCCGTGTACACGGGTGCTTCCAACTGCCGCGGCGGCGGCTATTATGCGACAGGCGTCTGCTCAAACACGCTGCGCCACCGTCGCTGCCTGCCAACGGGCAACGGAACAGCCGGTCCTCCGATCCCTCGGCAAACCAAACTCCATACAATCTAAGGCCTGGTTTCCGTAAGTCACGGTGATTAAAAATCAGTGACTTATAAGTCATGTTTGTTTGGTTGTAGATGACTTATAAACTCATGCCTGTTAAGTGAAAGGTGTGGGCCCCACGTAGAAAAGGGTGGCTTATAAGTTTAAAGCAGAGATGAACTAACTTATTTCTTATAAGCAGGGGTGATTTATAAGTTGGTAGTGTTTGACAAAATCAATCACTTATTTTACTTTTTAACTTATAAGTAGGTGATTTATTTGGAACCAAACATGTTCTAAAAGTAAAGCAATTGCTTGGATGGTCAGTGGAGCTGTGGAGAGGTGGTCGTGTCTCTCCTTGTAGCGAAAAAGTAAAAAATAAAAGCACGCCTCCCCGTTTCTTGTTAATACGGGTTTGAAAACAAAGTAAAATATTGCACGTACGGTTTTTATATATATGAACAACAACAAATTTGTCAGATGTATATATTCCATTTCTCACTTGTCTTGATTTGGACCGTCGGATCTCGTCGATACAGAGGATCCTGATCTCGTCCCGTCCTGTCCCGTGCAGCCGCAGACAAACACCAGCGGAATCCGAGGGCCAAATCGAAAAAGTCACTCCGGCACCGCCGCACCGTCCGTCTCCCGCCGCTTCTCCAGCCCCCGAACGGTGCCTCCGTCTCGTCTTCCACCGCCGCTCGGGTTTCCCACCGGGCGCATCCCGGCTCGCCTCCGCCACTCCGCTTCTCGCCGCGGCGCCGTCTGCCTCCCGTCTGTCAAGCTCCGTTGCCTCGCTCCTTCCCATCTTCCGCCGCCGTAGCTACTGTGAGCTGGTACCCTAAGACCGAGTCTCCGGGCGAGTCTGTGAGCCGCGCCTACATTTTTTTGCGCCGAGGTTCTATCTAATTCCCCTAACGAATGATTCTAGGGATACAGAAGAGGGAGAGAAGATGTCGTCGAAGAAGAACTACTATAAGGAGAAGATGATGCGGCGGAAGTAAGCGCTCCACAGCACATTTGCTTCATTTGTTCTGCACATTTCTTAGTGCCATGTGCTTCGGGATTGGACAGTAGAATTAGAGCTCGTTCGTTCGAAAAGAAGAAGAAGAAGAATTAGAGCTCTCTCTAACCTATTGCAGTTAGTTCTTGCCAAATTGTCCCCCCAATGATAGCTGTCTTTTTGTTCATGCAAACAGCTTTTTGAATGAGACTGGAAAGGGGACAACTTATTTGTGTTTCATATGTCTGAAACTTATTATGCAGAAAATTTCGTCATTGAAACCACAGCTCTTGATGCTACCGTTAATTTCTTACTGTTGTAGCACGATTACATGAATGCCTGGAACTTAATGCATCCACGGCTGTTGTTGTAGCTTAACATTCTAGTCACCTAGTCCATCTGCTACATTACTTGGATTTACCTTCACCCTTTGGTGGTGATTCACTGTTACTTGCACTCCTTTGTAAAAGCTCAAATAGCCGCCATTATGTTTGTCTCTCTAATACACTATCCATCTCTGTGGAATTCTATTTTGCATACATGTCACAAGCTGTTGCTGCAGAGGAACTGCATTAAAATGGCTAAAGTGCTAAATCAAGGGAGCTATGAAAATATTCAGGATCCCACACTCAGGGACTATGGTCTTGGATAGAATCCGTTCACGTTTTTAGCCTTTTAGGATATGTATCAGAACCTGTAATCATGTTAAAGTAGTAACTGATAAAGGCAAATTAGATGCAAACTAGGACTCATGTTACTTACTGTATAAGTGATTTGGCGAACCTAAATATCTCTTGTTTTCCATTCAGAGAGGAGAAAAAAGAAGAGCCAGAGACACCCAGGTATCGTGATCGTGCTAAGGAGCGTCGTGAAGATCAAAACCCAGATTATGAACCTACAGAACTTGGCTCATTTCATGCAGTGGCACCTCCTGGGACTGATTTGAGGTAATAGATCACATGTTCATTTATGCAACACTTCCATTTGTGCTTAGTTTATTTCATTTTTTTCTGGAATCCTAATCTCTGCAATATTTGTGTCACAGGTTGGCAGATGCTCATAAGATTTCAATTGAGAAAAGCAAATATCTCGGAGGTTGGTTATGATTCTATACTTTCTATAAGGAGATAATTTCCTTTTTGTGGCAAAACTCCCTTTGGCATGTCTATGTCTTACTTCTGTGTTGTACTGCTTTTTATGTGTATGAACAAGTGGGCATACCTGTGCTTGAGCTGTCTGAATCATGACTTCTGTAAAAATGAGAGCTGTTTAACATAGTCTTATAAATTTGGTAAATTGGTAATGCTTGATGTTCTTGTTGGCCTGAGGACTCCCTGCACAGGTGAGCAATCAGCTCACCAGCACACTTACACACTCACACTAGGCTAGAGGTTGAAGAAAGGGGGTGAGCTCAAAGCATACACACAGCACAAGCACCAGCATTGGCCGAACTCTGCTTAAAGTGTGGCTAGCTGAACTAAGTATTCCATTGTCTTTGGATAGAATATATACAACTCTAGCTGTACCTTGCCAGGTACAAGGGTAGTTGGCAAGTACTCCAACCCCCAACTACTCCTATCTAATCATAGTACAACAGACATGATCTATTGCCATGTCGCTACAGCTAGAGTTGGCAAGTATTCCATTGTCGCACGTGAGAGAGAGGGAGAGCAGCAGGTTATGTCTTACAATTCTTCCCCTAACCCTGCTACTAACCCAAAGACTTGACCTCATCCATGCCAATCATCCTCCTCAGCTCCGTGAACCGAAGACGCCCGAGTGACTTGGGTGAGGATGTCAGCGAGTTGCCGACCAGTTTCAACGAACTCGATGACGATCTGCCCTCCATCGACACAGTCCCTGAGGAAGTGGAACTTGATGTCGATGTGCTTGCTTCAGTCGTGGAGGACCGGGTTCTTGGTTAGGGCGATGGCGGGCTTATTGTCCACCATCAGTGCTGGTGGGTGAGCTTCCACGCAGGTCAGCTCGCCCAGCAGCCGGCGCAACCAAACCACCTGGCACGCCGCTGTAGCCGCTGCAACATACTCCGCCTCACATGTTGACAGCGCCACAATCTTCTGCTTCAGCGACTGCCAAGCAATTGGAGCCGACCCGAGGAAGACGAGCACGCCGGAGGTGTTCCGCCGTCCGTCGATGTCGCCCGCCATGTCTGCATTGCTGAAGACCGTGAGCTCTGGCTCACCTTCGTCGGTCTTGGGGGGTGCCTCGCTGAAGACCGTGAGCCGCAGCCCACTCCCGTCGCCGTGCGTGGGGAAGATGATCGCTTGATCCAGCGACCCCTTGATGTATCGCATCGGCCTCTTCACCGCCGTCCAGTGGTCCTCTCGAGGATCCTCCATGAACCGACTGACATACCCGACCGCGAACGCGATGTCCGGTCGAGTATGCGTCAGGTAGCGCAGCCCGCCGCCGATGCTCCGGTAGCGCGTCGTGTCCACCTTCGCCGCGGTGCTGTGCTTCGACCGCTTGATCCTCTCCTCCATGGGAGTCGCGCTTGACTTGCAATCCGCCATGCCACCGCGCTCTAGTAGCTTCTCCGCGTAGATGCGCTGGCCCAGGGAGATGGAGTCATTCCCCTGCTTTATCTCGATGCCGAGGTAGTAGGAGAGCGCGCCGAAATCGCTCATTCGAAAACGAGCCGCCATCTCGCGCTTGAAGCCGTCGATGTCCTTTGCTCGCGTTCCGGTGACGATCAAGTCGTCCACGTACACGCCGACGATGAGCTCCTCCTTCCCCGTCGTCGCGTGTAGAGCGCGTGCTCTGTTGCGCAACGGGTGAACCCAAGCTCGCCCATCGTGGCGTCAAACTTGGCGTTCCACGCCCGCAGGGCCTGCCGTAGCCCGTAGAGCGCCTTGCGCAGTCGGAGCAACTAGTGCGCTGCTCCCTTGACGGCGA